CGTTGATAAGGTTTTCGGATGTATATTACATGATATAATTGTCTCCCATGTTAAGCGCGAAATTTCTTCCAAATCAACATGGTTTTTTCCAAGGCAGATAGATCTACTTTAACTAATCTAGCGTGTTTTAAACAGTTTTGCTATGAAGTTGTTGATGAAGGGGGCAAAAGTAGATGTTGCTTACGTTGACTTTTCAAAGGCTTTTAATAAGCTAGATCACGGTACTTTGTTAAAGAAATTAGCTACGCAAGGGTTGACCCATCAATTTTTGAATTTTTTCAACTCTTATCTTACGAACAGATGCTTGAAAGTCGAATACAAGGGCTTCACCTCCACTCAGATTATACCTTCTTCCGGCGTACCTCAAGGGTCTGCTCTTGGCCCTTTGCTTTTCCGAATTTTTATTGATGACGTCGTTGGGGAGCTACACAGTAGCTGTCTTCTATATGCAGACGACTTGAAGATTTTTTGTGAAATTGAAACCATGGACGACTGTAATATATTGCAAAACGACTTGAGCAGCCTAAATAAGTGGTGTTATCGTAACAAGCTGTACCTTAATGCTGATAAATGCTACACTATGTGTTAGGGATATTTGGCTGGCTTTAGTATGAGGATAGTCTGAGTTGTCGCTTGCCTACCACGCACGCGTGCGCTGGTAGGACAAAAAAGGAAGAAGGATACTAGCTCACAGAGAGACCACGCTGATACGCCGTAACCCGCATACCGTGAGAACATATATACCCGCAACCGCATACAGTGAGACCACGTGTCTACGCAGCCACCCGCATAAAGTCAGCAACCGCATATACGCAGCAAACGCATAGAGTTACAATCGCTCCCGCATCCGTAGTCTTCACGCTCCTGCATCACCGCTACGCCAGGAATACGAACCAGAATTAGACAGAATACCGGATCAAAGGTAGACGACGACCACATTTCATTCTTGAACCAGCCGCTATACAGTCCACTCGAATACTCCAACACTATGTCTATTACGCCCAAACTTGTTCCAATCAGATTCATATATAACACTGATAATTCGCAACTTAACATGTGTGAAGAGTTTCATTAATTAGGTATATTCTTTGATACCAAACATACATTTGTTTCGCATATTGATGCTGTTGTTAGCAAGGCCTATAAAAGTTTGGGCTCCATCATCGGGAATTGTGGGGATTTCAATCATGTGTATACCATGATCTCGTTATATAATTCATTTGTTCGATCCAAAATTGAATACTGCTCTATAATATGGTAACCTGTTCATGTTTCTGTTCACTCGAATAAAATTGAACGTATTCAGGGACGGATTGTGAAATATTTGTGGCACAAGGAAGATGGTACGTATCCAGAAGTTGGCTTCAGGCATGATGTATACTAAGTGACATATAAATCCGAACACCCAGTGTAAATGGTTTTATTTTAATAAAAGTTGGTGAATGTATTTATATTACTGTAGACAACAAGTGAAAAAATGTTCAGCCTTATCAGTTGGACATTCCGGTTTTTATACTGCTCTTTTTTAATTCACTAACGCTCTAAAAATGAATATTTCAGCCGCAGTAAAGAATCAACGTTGGCGGATTTTGGTTCTTGACATCCTTTACGATCGGTTACGATGCCTAGAGTACGGAGACCTGTACGATTTCGTCAACTTAGTGAGTTTGATAGGGGCCGTATAGTGGGACTTCGGGAAGCTGGACCTTCTTTTCGGGCCATTGCAGTTAGAGTGCAAAGAAGTGTAGACACTGTGGTTAGGTGTTGTCAGGCATGGCTTCGAGAAGGCCGTACGCAAAGAGCAAGGGGCACTGGACGCCGCCGTAGAACAACAGACCGTGAAGATCGCCGCCTAAGATTATTGGCCTTAAGGGACCGTTTCTCCACTACCAGGTCCATTGCAAATGAATGGTTTGCAGAACACGGAAGACCTATTGGCATGCGAAGTGTTTACCGACGAATGAGAAGTTTTGGCTTGTTTTCATACCGGCCACACTGGGTCCTCCCTTTAACTCGAGAACACCGACGTAATCGCCTTGAGTGGTGCAGACAAAGGTCACTCTGGGATCAGGAATGGAACAGTATTGTCTTTAGTGATGAGTCTCAATTTTGTTTAGGCATGCACGATGGTCGTGCCAGGGTTAGAAGGCGACGTGGTGAAAGGAGGAATCCACAGTTTTTTGTTGAAGGACATGTTCATCACACTGTTGGAGTTATGGTTTGGGGTGCTATAGCTTATGGTTCCAGGTCACCTTTAATCTTCATCAGAGGTAACATGAACGCGCAGCGTTATATCCACGAAGTTCTAGAACCCCATCTTTTACCCTATCTTGACACCCTGGCAGATCCAACTTTCCAACAAGATAATGCCCGACCACATGTTGCAAGAGTCACAATAGACTTCTTTCAACATAATGATGTCACATTGTTACCATAGCCACCAAGATCTCCCGACTTATCCCCCAATTGAGCACGTGTGGGATATGATGGGTAGGAGATTGCTTAACTTGCAACGTCCTCCTCAGACTCTAGAAGCACTTCGAGAGGAGTTGGTGGTTGCCTGGAATGAGATACCACTGGAGGACATTGACCACCTGATCAGAAGCATGCCTAGGCGCGTTGGAGAATTCGTAGCACATCAGGGTGCATCCACACATTATTAAAGGTCAAAGGGCTTTAAAGCAGTGCAATCATTTTGAAATTTTTATCATTTACTTATTATGCTTCATTAAGTACTTATACAAAATTTTATTAAAATAAAACCATTTAAACTGGATGTTCGGATTTATATGTCACTTAGTATAATTCATTTGTTCGATCCAAAATTGAATACTGCTCTATAATATGGTATCCTGTTCATGTTTCTATTCACTCGAATAAAATTGAACGTAGTCAGAGGCGGTTCGTGAAATATTTGTGGCACTAGGAAGATAGTACGTATCCAGAAGTTGGCTTCAGGCATGATGTATTACTTAGCAGGTAATTAGGTATGTAGCGTACATCCAACAGACGATTCTTTCACGACAAGAGTTCATATATACGTAAATATACTAAGTGACATATAAATCCGAACACCCAGTTTAAAGGGTTTTATTTTAATAAAATTTTGTATAAGTACTTAATGAAGCATAATAAGTAAATGATAAAAATTTCAAAATGATTGCACTGCTTTAAAGCCCTTTGACCTTTAATAATGTGTGGATGCACCCTTATGTGCTACGCATTCTCCAACGCGCCTAGGCATGCTTCTGATCAGGTGGTCAATGTCCTCCTGTGGTATCTCATTCCAGGTAACCACCAACTCCTCTCGAAGTGCTTCTAGAGTCTGAGGAGGACGTTGCAAATTGAGCAATCTCCTACCCATCATATCCCACACGTGCTCAATTGGGGATAAGTCGGGAGATCTTGGTGGCCATGGTAACAATGTGACATCATTATGTTGAAAGAAATCTATTGTGACTCTTGCAAAATGTGGTCGGGCATTATCTTGTTGGAAAGTTGGATCTGCCAGGGTGTCAAGATAGGGTAAAAGATGGGGTTCTAGAACTTCGTGGATATAACGCTGCGCGTTCATGTTACCTCTGATGAAGATTAAAGGTGACCTGGAACCATAAACTATAGCACCCCAAACCATAACTCCAACAGTGTGATGAACATGTCTTTCAACAAAAAACTGTGGATTCCTCCTTTCACCACGTCGCCTTCTAACCCTGGCACGACCATCGTGCATGCCTAAACAAAATCGAGACTCGTTACTAAAGACAATACTGTTCCATTCCTGATCCCAGAGTGACCGTTGTCTGCACCACTCAAGGCGATTACGTCGGTGTTCTCGAGTTAAAGGGAGGACCCAGTGAGGCCGGTATGAAAACAAGCCAAAACTTCTCATTCGTCGGTAAACACTTCGCATGCCAATAGGTCTTCCGTGTTCTGCAAACCATTCATTTGCAATGGACCTGGTAGTGGAGAAACGGTCCCTTAATGCCAATAATCTTAGGCGGCGATCTTCACGGTTGGTTGTTCCACGGCGGCCTCCAGTGCCCCTTGCTCTTTGCGTACGGCCTTCTCGAAGCCATGCCTGACAACACCTAACCACAGTGTCTACAGTTCTTTGCACTCTAACTGCAATTACCCGAAAAGAAAGTCCAGCTTTCCGAAGTCCCACTATACGGCCCCTATCAAACTCACTAAGTTGACGAAATCGTACAGGTCTCCGTACTCTAGGCATCGTAACCGATCGTAAAGGATGTCAAGAACCAAAATCCGCCAACGTTGTTTCTTTACTGCGGCTGAAATATTCATTTTTAGAGCGTTAATGAATTAAAAAAAAGCAGTATGAAAACCGGAATGTCCAACTGATGAGGCTGAAAATTTTTTCACTTGTTATTTACAGTAAGATGAATACATTCACCAACTTTTATTAAAATAAAACCATTTAAACTGGGTGTTCGGATTTATATGTCACTTAGTATATGAACATGCAGGAAACGCTGTCGATTTGTTCATTTGTAATTGCCGTAGCTTAAGAAGATTTTACATAACAGCAGGTTAAGTCATTTAGCAATTTCAAGTTATTTTAGAACAATTTTGTCTTAAAATTGATTCCTGTGTCCCTATCCGTTAAATGGTGTAATAAACCGTTCGGATAGTGTATAGACTAGTAAATAACGTCGTCGCGGCATTGATTGAATTACGGTACGAACATAGTGGAGCGACGAGGTTTCAGATTCAGATATCTGGTAGCGTCTAGAGCGTAGAGGCAAGAGGCACCTATGGTTATAGTAGAGCGTCGCGTTTTGTCGAAGATAGACGTAAAAATATGTATTCCGACAGTGACGATGACATTCTTCTCAATAATACTTACCTGCAAGTGCTTTTAATGACTGGAGTGCGGCAGTGTAGTGTGCACGACGTAAATAAAAGTCGGAAACGCCTAGGGGAATTCCATCATTTATTTCTAGAACTGAAAAATTATCCCGACAGGCTATTTGACTACATTCGAATGGAACTTGCCACCTTTCAGTATATATTAGAACAAGTTACACCCTGCATCAACAAGAAATGGACAAATTTTAATCAAGCGCCTATAGGAACCGAAGAAATGTTGGTGGTAACAATTCGGTAAGAGAATATTATGTATTAAGGATAATACTTTTATTATTCATAAACAAACAAACGGTAACGCAAAATAATATTCTGTCTTCTGAACACAACGAACGATAACTTATAATAACTTATAATGTTTACTGATCTGCGTAATTAAACCCCTGCAACAAATGGGATGAATGTGCAAACGATGTTCGTGGTTGAGATGTATATGTCGGGCTATGATTAACAGAATGACTGACATTGATGGTGGACTGATTGTTCGAGTACTCTTCATAGGCATACTTCTGAACCAAATTTTGAATTTCATTGCGGAACTGAAGTTTTCGATGAGGCCTAATTTTCACCACGTGGGGCAAAAGGCTATCAAAAAACAGTTTATCGTCATCTGTGACTGGTAGGGCTCTGCCACGGTCTGCAGCGACACGTTTCTCATCTAAATATTGTAGTTTTTTCTTCTCTATCTCAAGAAAAGCGTCAAGTTGATTTGACCGTTTTCGGGCCCTATTCTTTAGAATAGTTCGTGGTTCTTTTGGTGTGCTTTGAATTGGAGTGACTGATTCTGTGTGGTCGGGTTCTGTTTCCTGCGTTTCTACACCCTGCGTTTCGTCCATTTCGTCTTCGTCATAGTCACCATCATTTTCATCCATCTGCGTAGAGGGTGTCGAAACTTGTGTGTCATTGTCGGGATCCAACAGGTTGCTATGACTGGATCTCGGCAGAAACTGGTCTCTCAGAAACAATAAACTTTTGAAATGAGGCCAGGAGCTCTTTTAAGAGCCTCTTCGCCTGGATCACCAGACCGGGGCAGAGGTATTTTCTTCAGTTCTTTTCTGAAATAATCACGTAGATTTTTCCACTTCTCAGAAACTTTCTTAACTGCAACAAACAAAAATTTTCAGATATCTTGCAACAGGAGCGTCCTTTAGACACTTGGCATTTTCCTTTCGAATGGGCAGGAGTACTGTTGCGAGCATTATAAAACATATGATTAAAATATTATGGAACATGCTGCAACCACTTCACATGCCAGAACCTACTACGGCAACATTTTAAATGTAAGTGCAGACTTCATGAAAGTATGGAACTTCCCCAATTGCATCGGAGCTGTTGACGGCAAACACGTCAAAGTTATAGCACCACAACATTCCGGATCCATGTACTTCAATTATAAGCATTATTTTTCTATCGTCCTACAAGGAGTTTGCGACGCAAATTACAAATTGCTTGTGATAGATGTCGGAGGTTACGGCAAACAGAGCGATGGGGGAACGTTTCAGAGTTCCAATTTGTACAAACGGATACACCAAAACAAACTAAATGTGCCAAATCCAGATAGTTTACCAGGAACAAATGTCCGCGCTCCCTACGTATTTATTGCAGATGAAGCGTATCCACTAATGCCCAATTTGCTAAAACCATACAATCGAAGGAACCGCTCTTTGGAACATATAAATTTAACCAAAGATTGTCCAGAGCACGCAAAACTATCGAGTGCACCTTTGGAATTATGTACGCGAAGTGGCGTCTTCTGTCCAAAGCTATAGAGACTACTGAAAAGACTGCGGATGATATCATTAAGGCGATATGCATTTTGCATAATACAATACTGGACCGAGAGGGATTTCAACGACATTTAACATTAGTAACTGATGCAGTTCCTAGAGATCAGATGTTTGAATTACCTAGAGGAAGGCAACTGGGTGAAGGTCAAAGAGTTCGCGACATTTTCTGTAACTATGTTAATTTCTTTCCAATCAGTTACGAGACAGCTTAAAATTTTACCGCAAGATGTAAGTTCTAGCTGTTGAAATGTGTATAAAATACAATTATTTACTTACCCGACTGATTATTGCATTCATTGGCTACCTCCTCCCATAACTTATCTAGCACGTATCGGTTGCGATGATCTGGATGACTCTGATCCCATATAGCCCTTCTGTGATATACACTATTTATTAATTGCACAACATCCATTATTAAATCGCTTGAAAACGCGTGACAAAAATTGAATGCAACTATTTAAAACTCGTCGCTCGAAACCTCCTAGAGACTCGACGCATGCCTTATCGCGCTACTATGGCCCGACAGGTTTCAACCTGTGTTTTTGACTCACATAGCGGCAAACCGCGCGGTTAGCCTCTATCTGAATCTGAAACCTCGTCGCTCCACTATGTTCGTACCCTTAGATGATTGACGCTTTCTTGGTGTATTGTATTGTATCGCAAACCATCTGAACTTGTTTTCGTTGAGCCGTGGAGGGTGCGGAGAATTTTGCAACCTTCTTCCCATCATGTCCCATACATGTGGGAAAAGGTCTGGAGTTCGATTAGATAAAATATTCAGGGTGTTACATTACATATGTCAGTTAGTACACATTTCCACAGTATCTTTAGTATTTATTTGACGTTAATAAAGCAATATTAACAATACACATTAATAACAAATCTCGGTGACAGGCATTTATTTCCACCCAAGCGTTTGTTTGCAACGCCTGCTCAAAAAAAATCAGAAATAGCGCACAAAATTCAAAAGTGTCAATGGAATAGTTTCATTCGTTTTCTTAAATTTTAACGCGCTTTGAGTAAAATTTTCACCAATTTCCAGAGGTATGATTAATTTGAAACTTTGCTCTCGTTTCAAGGACCGATGACGTTGCAATAATTTGATAACAGTTTTCCATTATCCTTATTAGGACCGCCAGGATTGATAAATTCTTTTATAGATCCTCTCTAGGGAAGTAAGAGATATAGAGCAAGCGCGCAAGCTGCGCATGCGTGCAGTTTCGGACTTACTCTTTGTTGATTTTGGCACCGCACAACAGAGGCAGATACTTTTTCAAGGTAGTGCATTCTGACCTTGTTCATTGCGAATATCCTGTTAATAACTTAAATTTTATTATAATTTTATTTTGAGGTCATTAATTATGATTGATTGTTCGACGGTCTACTACTTTCTTATTTTTAGTTGAATTAGCGTGTTTTTTAGTTTTCTAAACCATTATTTATTTAAAATGAAGTCACAAAAAAGCCCCAACGTTGATTGCACCCTGTATGTGTATACAAACACATCTCGGGGTGTGAGCAATTCCATATAACCAAGTACTCAATCCTTTAGTGCGCAAACCAGACGCGAACTAAAATCCCCAATGATAAATTGGTGTTGTACGTGATCTGGTTTCGGCTTGTTTGGCACCAGACTGGGAATGTAAATCCTGCAAGGATGGCATTTCCAACTCCTTCGTGACGGCGATAAGGCTGCAACTTCCAACTCCCGCTCGATGAAAGCCGATATTAAACTGTAAAGTTCCCCGCTAGACGAAAATGTCACTCCGTGGGTGACGAATGGCTTCATTGCATCCGAGTTTAGTGGATGAAGGTGCATATCCAAACTGAAAGTGGTGACAATTTGAGATAACCTGCGGTCGTATTTTTGATAAAAATCGTATGGACCAATCATCACCGCCTTTTACACTCTAGAGACTGGCGATTTCAACAAACTTTCAAATTCGACCCTCACCATTGGGATCTCAAAACCTAAGTCGCTTAAATGGGTATTTAGGTAACTAACAAAATGCCACTTAGAAACTTTCACAGTTTCACAATTTAAAGTACCTCGGAAAAAACAGAATTATCGCAAAATCGTTATACCTTTTTCCTGACTTTATTTATAATGGGATTTAAGAACAAATTGCACATTAATATTACCAATTTTTCTCCTCTACAAGATGACAACAAGAATTTCAATATGACGTTTCATCCAGCGTTCTCCATCATCGACTGTATTTGATCTTATCGACGCCATATTGGATTTTCGTACAAATAGAAAGAGTTTTTAATTCTCATTTAAAAAATTTATAATACTTCATACAATGACATTGCCAAACCTTAGTTATTAAAAAACAAAATCTCCTAGCTGGGCTTCGAAATTATCAGATATTCATTTGTTTCACATGCCAGATTTATCCTAAAATCATTTGTATTCTTTCCTGACTTTGAGATGGAATTTCAAAATAAATTGCATGTTCCATTTACTTCCCAAACTAAGGTTTGGCAATGACAATATATGACATTTTATTTTTTGTGCAAAAACCAAATATGCCAAAGGTGCATGTATGCATGTAATACGTATGAAATATGTATGCAATGTGTACTTAAATATATTTGATTATGCTCAGTTTTTGAACCGACACTTCTGTAAAGTGCACACGTAATACGTATGTAATCCGAATGTGATCTCTATGTAATACGTATGTATTCCAGATGTAATACGTACGTAATCTGTGTGTAATCCGTATGTCATACGCATGTAATACCTATGTCATACGTACATAATACGTATGTACTACGTACGTAATAGATTTGTAACACGTATGTAATACGTATGTTATACGTACATAATATGTATGTAATACGTAAGTAATACGTATGTAATACGTATGTCATACGTATGTAATACGTATGTAATACGTATGTTATACGTATGTTATACGTATGTAATACGTATGTTATACGTATGTAATACGTATGTTATACGTATGTAATACGTATGTAATACGTATGTTATACGTATGTAATACGTATGTAATACGTATGTAATACGTATGTAATACTTATGTAATACGTATGTAATACGTATGTAATACGTACGTAATACGTATGTTATACGTACATAATAAGTATGTACTACGTAAGTAATACGTATGTAATACATACGTAATACGTATGTAATACGTAGGTAACACGTATGTAACACGTACTTAATACGTAGGTAACACGTAGGTAACACGTACGTAATACGTACGTAATACGTATGTAATACGTACGTAATACGTGTGTAATACGTATGTAATGCGTACGTAATACGTATGTAACACGTACGTAATACGTATGTAACACGTACGTAATACGTATGTAACACGTATATAAAACCTATGTAATGCGACTACTATTATGCATTGTAGGGGTGAAACATGTCGCTTCTATTTGCGCCGCTCCAGTGCGCGGGCTCTCATTTGATCGTATGTAGAGGAACCCAGCGGTAGAGCTATGCTTCTCTTGTCCTCAGTGAGCGGGCAACATTATGAATCAACATTCATAGCACGTCAGCAAATGTTACGGTTAGATAGCTGTTCTCAGTTAGTCTTTTGCTTTAGGCCAACCGAAATGACTGCAAATCGGAAATGAGTAATGTCATACTCTTAGATTCTAATACAATAGCAATGGTTTTAGTAACGATTCCTTTATTCTGTTTGTAAGGTTTATACCTCTGAAAAGAACAGACTGTATTTTTATGTTAAGTATGCTTTGATCAATTATCCATTATTGTTTTCGTTTATTACTACGTTTTTAATTTCTACGTATTTATCTGTCATTTAAGAGTGACTAAATGGTCGAGGGTTGATCCATGTACAGCCCCTGATCTCCAGATGTTCATTTAATAAATGTTGTTGATAATAAGACTAGTGATTATATTAGGCTATGTTATCGTACTGAGAGCGATCTAGCTCTCTTCTACCGCTACGCCAACAGGCTTTGCTTCTTGGAGCTCTCCTCCATTAATGACTTCCCATCCTATCTGTGTCGGACTTTGTACATCCAGAATTGGCTGATACGACCGTTCCTCTCTCCCTAGGTGATCGAAATTAGGGAACAATCTACCTGAGGAGGCTTCTACCAGTTCGAACATCGGATAAACAGAGCTTCTTTAAGCTTATCATAGCAGCCGCGGTGTCCTAGTATTTAAGCTTCTGACTGTGCGGCTGCATCGACAAAAAAAATGACTAATCTGAATTTTGAACTACCTAAGGGTAGCGGAAGTGGAAAAAGCAGCAGTCGTACCAACCAGTTCTGGTAGGTTCACCACTCAACGTGCCGGAGAGCTATAAGGAGCAAAGCCCGCTGACATATCAGTAGAAGGGATCCAGGTGCCTGACCCACAGTCGGAGCAAAAGGGTCCCGCGACTGACTGTTAGAGAAGTGTCATCGAGTATGGATAATTCAGTAGGGGAGGCAGAACTCTGACGTGTGAGCAGTAATCGAGGCTGGGTCTTAACTGAGGCTTGTACAGAATGAGGAGGTTATCCGGAAAAATATTTTCTATTCCTAAGCAGTTTTATTAAAAGGTTAGATGGACAGGTATGTACTCATTTCATAAAGAAGAAATATTTCTGCACCACCCAGTAGGTCTGAAATGGTGTCGGAAATAAAACGAAAATAGAAGTTTGTTGTTTTCATTTAGTACTTTACTTCTCCGATTTCCTGTATCGTTAATGCGTCCCGTTTTAATGCGAACTGGAATAAAATTTCCAATTTGCAACCAGATACTGGGAACACATAAATATTTAGCTTCAATTAAAGACTGAGATAACAGCTTTTAATGCCGGCTTTTAAATAGGTCACTGTCGGTATATTGACTATTTACGACGGTAATGTATTTTACTTTTACATATTTTATTGCATGTTGCTATGATAATGCAGATATAACGGATGTTTCAAATTTGACTCTCCCCATTGGAAAATCCCGCTTATCAAAAACTGAGGCGATCTTTTATTGGTCACGTAATCGAATAGACATGTGATAAATTGTCATTTTCATGGCCAACTATGGAGGTATTGGTTTTTCTGAAATAACTAAGGTTTGGTAACGTCAGTGTTTGCAATATTAAGGATTTTGGAACCAGAATGAAAAACTCACTCAAATTCACATGCAAAGGAGTCCAACTTGGCATTCTTAAGAGAAAAATAAGCTGTTTATATAAGACAAAAACTAGCAATGTAGTGAATAGTTTCTTATGACATGTCATCTCAAAGGATTTTGAAAAAAATCGTCTTTAGTTTTCTGAATCTGAATTGCGAAAGTGCCACTTTCTTAGTTATGTGCAGCTTGCCCCTATTTGATCATATGAGTTATAAGGCATGGCCTATATTAAATAATTAGATATAGATTTTGATAGTAATTGAGAAACAATTCACCTT